TTTGTTTTTGTTTATTTTTTGTTTTAAAGCAGATTTTTCCAAGACCATTTCAAAAACATTGCTAGAAAATGAGAGGGGTGGCCTATTGCTAGGGATCACCTAATGGGAGGTGGTGGCTTCCCTAGGCTACCCTAGAGGTGTGAGAATCTGGAGACCTGTTGCCGCTGACCCACACCTTTCCTAGGCTTTTGATGGCTTCGCGGCCCTGGGTGTGTCCCGATTGCTGGAGCCAGCAGACATGGTACTGCTGTCGGTGCCGGACAAGCTCATCGTCATGACTTACCTGTGTCAGATCCGTGCCTTCTGCACTGGGCAGGAGCTGCAGCTGGTACAGTTGGAGGGCGGCGGCGGCGCAGGCACATACCGAGTGGGCAGTGGCCTGCCGGACAACCTGGACACCAGTGACCTGGCGCAGCGGCTGCTTGGGCATGGCGCCTCGGGGCCTCGGGAGGTGGGGACCCGGGCAGATGTGCTGTTCTCTGAGGCAGCTGTCAAGGACCATGGTGCTGAGGCCTCCCAGGAGAGGCGCGTGGCGGAGACGCCAGCTGATGACCCTGGAGCCCAGTTGCCCCTGCCCCCAGCAGGGGGGCTGGTGAATGGGCCATCTGGCAGTGGTGGAGGTGGTGGAAGCAGTGGGAGTGGCGGCGTGAGGCTGCGACGGTCATCAGTGAATGGGGAGGCTGGGCCTGTACCCCCACCGCGTGCACATGGCTCCTTCTCCCATGTGCGTGACGCTGACCTGCTGAAGAAGAGGCGTTCTCGGCTACGGAACAGCAACTCTTTCTCCGTGGATGAGCCAGACCTTGGGGCTGTGGTGAGTCCCTGGGGTCGTCACTGGGCCCTGAGGGGCTGAGGGCAATGCTGACTCTGGGTGGGGACTCTTTTCTGATGCTGAGAGGTAAGCAGGGGCCATATGCTAGCAAGACTGCCAGGCCCCCAACAACTGCAGGGTCCCTGCTCCGCTGCAAGCCCTGAGATGCAGGCAGATGGTTTAGAAAGCTTGGCATCCCTGGGGAACTTGCTAGAGACTGGTGGAGGTTGTCAGCACTCAGCACAGTGTGCCTTGTGAACTTTATACTAAGTTTGGGCCAGCCAGCACCCACCCCACCCCATCAGCTGGGTGCTGAGTTTCTATACTCATAGGTGGTTCTGCAGAACTTCTCAACTCCAACCAGCTCCCACTTTTATCTGTAACCCCAGATGCTGGAGACCATTTTCTTCTCTTCCCATAATGGGAGGTGGGAGATTGGAGTTCTGCTAGGGTCTGCATCCCCCATCCCTTCAGATTTCAGGCCAGAGCCTCCCTGGGGGTGGAGGCATCCCTGGACTGAGAGGGGGTGTCTCAGTGAAGTTGAGAGGAGCTCAAGGACTCCCAGGAATGAAGTCCACACACGTTTTTGAGCTGGGATTCCACCCACTGCATCATTCTGCCTACAATAGTGAGGCACCTTTGTCAGACCTCTTCCCAAGACTTCTGCTGTCCAGCGCTGGCTCTGCATTGGAGGGAATGCAGGCATGAGTTAGGAAAGGTTTCCCAGGAGAAGCAGCCATTTTTTTTTAAAGCAATATGGTAGGCAAGTTTTGTCAAGTGAGAAATAGGAGCGGGCTGTTCTCGAGTGGAGCCCTGGTGGCGCTGAGGATAAGCGCTGGATTGCTAACCACAAGGTCAGCAGTGCAAACTCAGCAGCCGCTCCTCAAGAGAAAGATGAAGTTTTCTGCTCTCAGAGAGTTACACCCTCAGAAATCCTATACAGCATCGCCATAAGTTGGAATCGGCTAGATGGCAGTGAGTTTGGTGAATCTGGGTGCTCAGGTGGAAAAACCAGGCAGTCTCAGGCTTTACTTCAGGAACTGCCACTCTTCTCCTGCGAGGGAGGTGGGGTAGCTGGGAGAGCAAGAGCCTTGAATACCAGGATCAGAGGCTCAGGGTTGAGTCTGTGAATGAGAGACAGAGATCACGGGACACAGCTAGCCCTGCTCTTGGCCTCTGGCGCAGCCCCATTAAGATGTGTTAGTGATTCTTTAACTCTTAAAGGGGTGATTGCATCTTCCACCTTTTGGGGCCTAAGGCCTAGCATATGGTCCTTCCAAGTTAGGTTCTCTTCTGACCCTTGTCCCACAGAAGATATTCCACCCTTGGGGCTGGAGGGGAATCTTCCTTCTTTTTCTATCCCTCGTGCATGTCTTGGGACGTGGTGCGCCTGGCCTTGCCCTTAAGAACTCCAGAATCCTGGAGGGAGATGAGGTCAGGCACTCAAAAGGTGTGGTGGGGCTATAGCTATGCCAGGGGAAAGATGAGATGCCTCTAGAGTGAGTGGCCCCGGAAGGCTTCCTAGAGGAGGGGCCACCCAGAAGGTATACAAGAGGAATTTGGGTCAGATAGGAGGAAGCATTAGTAGGGATTCTCAGCAAGGCTGGGGGTGACTAAGCTCATTCTGCTGAGCTTGGAATTTCTTTACTTTCCTGCCTCTGCCTGCTGACAGCACTTGGGGCTTTCTGTGTGCCTGGCTTACCCCAAAGACCCCTTTCCAGTTTACCAGATGGGAATGTTGCAACGCAGGGAGGTGGGATGGGAACACAGGTTCAGAGCCTGAGTTCTTAAGTGGCACCCTGTACTGGGCCCCACACCATTTGTTGGGCTCTGCGCCTCTGGGCAAGCCCCTTAATCTTCCTGTGTGCTCTCCTGAGTCTGAGACGTGATCGTGTGGAAACCCTTTGCAGGGTGGTATTGAGGCCACTAAGAGGTCCTGGCAGTGTAGTGGGTTAAGAGCTGAGCTGTTAACCACAAGATCAGCGGTTTGAATCTATGAGCCACTCCCTGGGAGAAAGATAGAGCTTTCTGCTCCCTAAAGATTCACAGCCTAAGAGCCCAATACAGGGTCACTGTGTGTCAGAACTGACTCCTCGGTGACATACAACCACCGCCACCACCCTGAGGCCACTTCTGAGCGCTATCAAAAAATAGGAGCTGTGTGTTCCCCTAGATGCCTTTTGGGGGCCCTGCAGACCCTAAGTTACACAAGACTGGGATTTCTCCCCATTTTACATACAAGAACACAGAGGCCCAGAGGGTGTGACCCAGCCAGAGGCATTTAGCAAATTGGTGGTGAAGCTTAAGAACAGACTTGTGGGTTAGTTTTCCATTCTGAGCCTCACTTCTGAGCCCCAGTCTCCCTCTCTGACTGTCAGTTTCCTCTGTAAAGTATGGATGGTGATGGTCCTTGCCACACGGGCTTGTTGCGAGAACCACAGGAGTCAATACGTATAAAGTGCTTTGGAGAGTATAAAGTGCTTTGGAGAGCGCCCGATACATAAGTGCTTAATGTTGTTGGGTGCCGTTGAGTTGATTCTGACTTATAGGGACCCTATAGGACAGAATAGAACTGCCACATAGGATTTCCAAGGCTAGTGTAGTGGTTATGAATTGGGCTGCCAACCTCAAGGTCAGCAGTTCGAAACTACCAGCCATTCCATGGGAGAAAAATTAGGCTTTCTGTTCCCCTAAAGATTTACAACCTCAGAAACCCTGTGCAGGGTTGCTATGAGTTGGAACCGACTCCAGAGTACTTACAATTTTTACAGAAGCAGACTGCCACATATTTCTCCTGAGAAATGATTGCTTGACCAAACTGCCAACCTTGCACTCAGCATTTGGCATCTAAGCACCGCATCACAAGGGTATCTAGATGGTGTTGCTGCTGATAAGTGCTGTGGAGTCTGTTCTGACTCATAGTGACCCTGTATAGGGTTTTCAAGGCTGGTGAGTTTGAACCGCTGACCTAGGTATTACCTGAGCACATAATCTGGGCTCAGCCCTGTCTGAATGGCCCATCTCTGATTTGGGAGACACATGTAACCAACAGCCATGTGTTGAGGAGGGGTTGGAAATGTGATTCGGGGCCCAGGAGGTCATGGGACCTGGGGGGCTTCAGGTGATAGGAAGGTTAGGGAGCGAGGCATAGAAAGGAATGGGAGCCCAAAGGGGCCCCTGGAGGAGGTGGACCAAGCTGAGTCATCAAGGTCAAGCAACCCAAGATGGAGGCTGACTCCAGGCTGAGGAAGCTCTTTAGGGAACTGAGAGTCCACCACCGTGGCCAGAGGGTGGTGGCCAAGTGGGGTTTGGAGGAGAGTTGGGACTGGAACAGCCAATAGGCCTTGGCACCTGATTTAGGGGCTATGGAGAGAGGGGTGAAGGTTTAGGAAGATGCCTCAGTTGTTGTATGAGGGTGGAGTCAGCTTTCTCAAGCAGGAGAAGATGGCCCCTGAGCTGAGGATGTCCAGGACTGTCTCAGAAAGGTGTAGAGTTGAGGGGACAGTGGGGTGGTGCCACCCTTCTCCCCATCCTGTGACCTGCCAGAAGAGTGGCCAGAGCAGGACCTTCCAAGGAAAGCCAGGGTGTCAATTGGGTCTAAAGTTGGGGCTCCTCAGGGCAGATGGGGCCCCGGCAGGTCACCAAGGGTGAGGACATCTGGGAGCAGTCCAGCTCTTTCACCCAAACCAGGTCCAAACCTGAGCTGAGTGAAGAGGACAGACAAGCTACCAAATGTGGGAAGTGATAAAGCCAGAGGGCACCCCCTTCCAGTCAAGAGGTGGAGGTACTGACATAGGATGCTATAGTCTAGAGGCCAGACCTCACATGGTGACAGGAGTCAGAAGTGGCCAGCGGGGGCTCTGTGGAGGAGGGGGCCTTCCCCTTCATAACCTTTTATCCCAACTCTCATGAGAGTGAGGCCAGGGTTATTGCCCAGTGCCAGGAAGGAAGAGTGGACTGCCCAGCACCATAGGGCTGGGAAGGGTGGAGCTGAGACCCGGGAGGCACTTCTGCATGCCATACTGGAGATGCAGCTGGGCAGACAGGCCTAGGAATGAGGCTGACCCCAGAGCAGGGACTGTTAGAGGACCCCTCCCAGCCTCATCAGCCCCTTTCTTCACAGGGAGGCTCAAGCCCTGACCCCATCCCCACCCCAGACCCAGACCCAGACCCAGCTACAGGGCAGCAACCACCTCCTGGTGAGTAACATTGGAAGGGGAGTCGGGGGGCCAGGGGGACCCAGCTCAGCTCAGGCTGTTCACAGTCTACAGCTGGAGACCTCTTAGGGTAGGTGTCAGCTGGTGGGTATCTTAGCCTGGTCTCTGTTTTCAGGTGGGAGACCCCCATTAGAGGAACCACCTTCAAGCCCAGGGGAGGAGGCTGGGCTGGTAAGGAGGGCTGAGATGGGTGGAGTGGACATGCGGGCCCTTTCTAAGGGGGCCTAGGCTGAGTCCACCCTCTCCCCACCTCCCATCCCACCCCAGCAACGTTTCCAGGACACAAGTCAGTACGTGTGTGCAGAGCTGCAGGCCCTGGAACAAGAGCAGAGGCAGATCGATGGGCGGGCGGCCGAGGTGGAGACTCAGCTGAGGAGCCTAATGGAGTCAGGTGGGGAAGGGTGGGCACACTAGCCACTGGGAGCCACCAGATCTGCCCAGCCTTGGGCAGCTCATCCTGACCTTGGGAGGCTCAGCTGGGGCATGGACCCCAGTTTATAGTTTGACACTCTGAGCCCTGAACAGGAAACGAGCTTTGCTGGAGACACACAGCCCCTCAGCTCTGGCTTCTGGGTGACCACAAAGGGGCAAGCCTCCTCCCCAACCCCTGACAGCAGGGTTGGGTGGCAGGCCTGGTGACCACCATGGCCCTGTTCAGGTGCCAACAAGCTGCAGGAGGAGATGCTGATCCAGGAGTGGTTCACACTGGTTAACAAGAAGAATGCGCTCATCCGGAGGCAGGACCAGCTGCAGCTGCTGTGAGTGTTAGCCTATCCCAGGCCAGGGTCAGGCCCCGCCCCGTCCCTCCCCACGCCCTCAAATAGCCTCCGCGGGTTGAGGAACCGCAGAGCTAGGCAAAGTCTTGGCTACGGTGGCTAGAGCTCTTCACTGCTTTACTTTCACTACAAATACATATTTTTTAATTGCTCATCCATTTTATTACAGTTAGTCCCCGCTTTATAAGGGGGTTCCATTATGAAGATTTCATTGTTAAATCGGTTCTGATGTAAATTGAATACCTCTTTTTTTTTTTTTTTTAAGTTTTCATTATTATTGTCTTTTATTATCAGAAAGGGAATGTGGTGTCTCCATACAATAAGCACTGGACTGTGAACCACAAGATCCGTGGTTCAAGCCCACCAGCCGCTCTGCGGGAGAAAGATGAGGCTTTCTGCTCCTGCAAAGATGTAAAGCCTCGGAAACCCTAAACAGTGTCACTATTGAGTCAGAATTGACTTGACATCACTAAACAATGGTGACACTATAGGGTAAACACTAGACTTCTAACTGCAAGGTTGGCAGCTCAAACACACCAACCGCTTCTGGGGAGAATTATGAGACTTTCTTGCTTCCCTAAAATTTTACAGGCCACCCTATAAGGGAGCTCTGGTAGCGTAGTGGTTACGAATCGGGCTGCAAACCCTAAGGTCAGCGGTTCGAAACTACCAGCTGCTCCGCGGGAGAAAGATAAGGCTTTCTACTCCCGTAAAGATTTACACCCTCGGAAACCCTGTACAGGGTCGCTATGGGTCGGAACCGACTCGACGGCACTTAACAACAGAAACCCTATAAAGGGTCTCTGTAACTCAAAGGTTGTGAGTTTGGTTCTCGGTTTGGTTTATTATGAGTGTCTTTATAAATCTGATCTTTATTTGTCATTGGGGGGTTGGAAACAGTATGCATAAACTTACAGTGATATTTTAATACATGCATATTACTAATGAAGTCCTGGTATGGTGCTAGATAAGCACTGGCGTGTTAACCGCAAGGTTGGTGGTTCAAGCCCACTAGCCACTCCTCAGAAACCCTATGGGATTGCCATGTGTTCGAACAGGCTCCAAAGTACTTCACAACAACAACAATTACTAATGATAAGATGTATCAAACTGTACACAGTCCTAAGTAAGTGCAGTTTGTGGTAACTCAAATATTTCGTAGTTTGGGAACTTCCGTTTGTTTTGTTTTGTTTTGTGTCCTATTGTTAAGTGCCCTGACTCATAACTACCCTGTATACCATTTCCCAGGAGAGCTGGTGGGTTTGAATCACTGACCTTGTGGTTAGCAGCAGTCTAGTGCTTATCCCACCGTGCCACAGCAAGACTCCTTCCTGTATAGAGGATACATCTCTTGAGTTGGTATTGTTTTTACTAATGAGAAAACTGAGACCCAGAGCAAACTGTGGCTGAGTCTCCCAGTTTCACCGTGTTCCTTACAGTAAGGAACAGGGTGATCTGAGCTGGTCCCCCCAGTGGGGTCAGAAGCAACTTTCCAGGATCATTGTTTTTTGTAGTCCCACATAGCGTAGGCAGTTTTGCTTCCCTTTTCTACTTTCCATCGTTTGTTAGAATAATTTCAGTCAAATGCTTATTGTTAAATAATGTTCAGCCATATATTCCTGTTGACTGGTTTCTTATTTTTAAAAAAGTTGAAGGGGAGCACATATAAGTATCCAGCCACTGGAGAACCATTAGAACAAGAGATGGGCAGGCAGGGGTCTGGCAGAAAACGTGGGGAGGTGGGGTGGGGTCAGAGCCCTGGACACTCCCTCCCCAACCCCTTTCCCTAATCTGACACTCACTTCCGTGCCCACCCTCAGCATCGAGGAACAGGACCTGGAGCGGAGGTTTGAGCTGCTGAGCCGAGAGCTGAGGGCCATGCTGGCTATCGAAGGTAGTGGACAGGGTTGGAGGAGCGGGGGCCGACCACCCGGCAGGGGCCCGACCTCCTGACCCTCAGCCTCCTCCGCCCTCAGACTGGCTGAAAACGGCTGCGCAGCAACACCGGGAGCAGCTCTTGCTAGAGGAGCTGGTGTCCCTGGTGAACCAGCGTGATGAGCTGGTCCGGGACCTGGATCACAAGGAGCGGATGTAAGTCTAAGTCGGGGACAGGGCCAGGGCCAGGGCCGCACTGGGTGCTGGGGAGAGTCTTGGGGCTCCCAACCCCCTGAGCGGGCCCGGACACCAGGGCTGAGTCTAACCCGTTTTCTCCCAGCGCTCTGGAGGAGGACGAGCGCCTGGAGCGCGGGCTGGAGCAGCGACGCCGCAAGGTGAGCCGACAGCTGAACCGTCGTGACCGCTGCTCACTGAGCTGAACCCGTTGGCCTGGGAGGCCCCAGCCTCGGCCACCATCTGCCCTCTCTCGGCCCACTCTGCTCACGACTGGTCAGGCCCTGGTTGCCCGGGCCTACGCTCCGAGGACTGGGACGCCCGGAGGCAGTGCGGCCGCTAGGGGCCGCTGTCGTCTTAAACGGGAAGCAGTGGACGGACCGTGGGCCTGACGGGCGGGCGGGAGCGCGGGGCGGCTGCACTGCCGGGCCCTATTTATTTGTCCGTGTGAGTGTGTGTGCGTGTGTTCTCTGGGAGTGTTAGGGGTTCCCAGGAACGTCCCGCTGATTCCTCCTCGATGGCAAAGCCCGTTGATCAGCTGCGGGGCGAGGACTAGGTCGTGGACTGTCCCTCCATTCTGCTTACTGTTCCTTGGAGCAATAAAGTTAGAGGAGACACCAGCATGGCTCTCTCTCTGGCCACCTCGAGCTTTCAATGGACAGCAGAGGGTGGGGCTTAGGCGGACAAGGCTGTTTCAGATCCCACAAGGGGCTGTGAAGGTCCCAAACTCAGCTGAGGCGGGACCTTGGCCTAGGGAGAAAGATGGGAGAGGGAGGGGTGGAGGGGCGTAACTGTGTTGTTAATAGCTGTAGGGAATCCCATTTCGAAAGAAGAGATAAATTAACAATCGAAGTTGTTGCCCATTTTATTATTCTATGAACACCAACACCGTATTCTCTGAGGTCATCACAACAACCATATTTCCCCATCTCCTGAAGCTTCCCCCACCTGTTTAACAGTGAAACCTCTCTGCTCCTCCACCTTAAAGGAGTTGAGCTACCTGACACCTGTCAGCAAGCCTGAGCTTGCTCTGGGGCCGGAGCCACGGGAGGTACGGTGTGCAGAGCCAGTTCATCCTGCCCTATGATGCCACCTTGGTCCTCAGCAATCAAAGGGCCACTGGGCTCAAAGAACCTCACGATGGCACGGACTTGTGGGAGCTCCACGAAGGTCTCCACAGCCAGTAGCATGGCCAGTAGCCCCAGGAGCATATAACCTGGAGAGGAGAGGTGGCCAGGCGGCACTTGGGGCCTTACGTAGCTCTGTGCCCACCTCCCGCACACAGGGAGTCGCTTAAACTAGACACAGACTGGGGGGGGGGGGGGGGGGGGGGGTGGAATGCGAAAGTATTCTAGGAACTGCAACTCCCATACCCCCTAGGGCAGTATCCCTCGGCCCTACCCCCACTGTTTGCTGGGAATTGTAGTCCAGGCTCCGCCCCCTTCCTCACGTGCTCTTTGGCTGCTGAACTCACCTAGAAGAGCTAGCTGACCGAGATGGTAGATTGCTGGATGCAGGCCGCGGCCATGGCCCGGCAGCAGTTCCCCAAAGCCCACGGTGCTGAGCGAGTCGAAGCAGAAGTAGATCGCCCCCATCAGGCTGCCGTCGCCCTGTAGCCGCCATAGCACCAGCGCTGGCAACAGCATGAAGACGCCACCTACCAGCAGGCCCAGCCCAGCAGCTTGTAGCAGCGCAGCTCGTGCTGGTGTCCACTGCCAGATAGCCGCTGCCCAAGCCACTGGGCGACTGAGTGAAGGCAGCAGGTAGTGGCGCAGAACTGCCACAAGGGCTAGCGAGGCTGGCAATCCCAGGGTGGCATAAACCATACAGAAGACCTTGCCACCCCACGACAGTGGGACCGTGCTGCCGTAACCTGGAGGAGAGAGCAAGGGTGAGCTCTTGAGTGGGATACTCTCAAGACCCCCGACCCCCCCAACGTCTCTTGCAGAACCCCACCCTTTGGTGGCAGGTGTTGCAGGAGCCAACTAGGTTCCTGTTCTATTCAGTTGGGTCTCATTCACTGAGGGACCTTGGGGCAAGTTCACTAAACTCTGGGTCGCTGTTCTTTTCTGGAAAATAAAAGGATAAAAGGAGACAATTTCTTCAGGCCTCTGGGAGCTGGAAGGATTCTGAGAGCTGTTGTCCTTCCCCCAGTGGACACCTGACTTTCTGCCAAATTCCTCGATTCTTCCACCCACTTTTTAATTCTCCAAGCGGGTATTGAGTCCCTCTTGGGGCCATTCCTTGTGCTGGAATCGAAGTGGGTCCCAAACTCCAAATCCATTACTGTTGAGTCACTTCTAACCCCTAAGGACTGTGTAGGACAGAGGAGACCTGCCCCATAACATTGCCAACACTACAATCTCATGTCAGTTGATTGCACCATTATGCCACCTAGACTCCTTTGTACCCAGGCCGTGCCTTTTGGTGTGAGTACTGGCAGGAACTCAATCATGACAGCTGACATAAATGGCTGCAAAGTAGGGCATTCAAGACTGAAAAAGCACCTGCAAAGGTGGGAGAGCAGGACCCCACTAATCCAGAGGTTGCAAACTCAAATCTACAGGAGCCAAGCGTGAGACAATACGGTTGGTGGGACTGGAACAGACTAAAGAGTTTATGCTCTGTCCCAAGGGGCAGACCCTTTTCCGCTCCAGCGAATGTATTGCTTGTGGGGATTGTTGCTCAGTGACTGTGGCTGGTGGTGGTAGTGATGTCCTGTAGAGCTGGTTCTGACTCATAGAGACCCTGTATAGGGTTTCCGACGCTGTAAATCTTTATGGGAGCAGAAAGCCTCATCTTTCTCCTGCGGAACAGCTGGTATTTTAAAATTGCTGACCTTGAGATTAGCAGCCTAACTCGTAACCACTACTCTACCGGAGCTCCTTCAGTGCGTATGTTGTTAGTGACATTGAGTTGAATTCAACCCATAGTGACCCTGTATAAGGTTTCCAAGGAGCAGCTGGTGAGCTTGAATCACCGACCTTGCAGTTCAAACGACTTTGCAGTCTGACACATTAGCCCACAGCACCACACCAGGACTCCTTCTCAGTGCCTATAGGTTTCCTGATTTTTCAAAAGAATTTGGATATAAGACTTCAATTCAAAAAGTATTTAGACATTTGAATGACCCACATCATCAGGACTCTGGGTCCCCTTGCTTCATTTGTCAGGGCCTTTGCACTTGAAATTCCTCTGCTGGGAACTCCTTCCTCACCTAGCACTGTGCCCTGTTACCTTGGCTAAGAGCTCATCAGTCACTAACTGTCTCAGAAGCCTTTTCTCATATCCCTTCCCGAGTCGGTGGTCCTGCTTTGTTCTCTCCCCCAAACCAAAACCCGAAATCCACTGCCTTGGAGTTGATTGTGACTCATAGCACGCCATAGGCCTGAGGATCATGTTGGGTTTACAAGACTGTCAATCTTCAAGGAAGCAGACTGTCACATCTATGTTCCGCAGAGTGGCTGCTGGGTTCAAACCACCTCCCTTTCAGTTAGCAATCAAGTTCTTTACCAGGGCTCTTGTATACTCCACCCCACTGTATGTGTTCCCTACCTCACCTCAGCCCTGTGGGGTCTGGGCATCTCTCCTGGGGATGGAGCTGGGCAGGCCACACCCCTCCTGGCAGATGAAGTAGAGGTACCAGTTGGGGCGCGTTGGTGTGAGGAGCTGGAGCTGTGATGTCAGGCCTGATAGGGCTTGGGCTCTGTCAGGTATCTGGGGGCTGGGGAGAGGACTGCGCCTCCAGGGTCCCAGGAGTCCCCTCCTGCCTACCCGTGGTGGTGAGGATTCCGGCTGTGAAGAGCAGGGCTGAGGGCAGGTCCCACTTCCTGGCCTCCGAGCTGTTTCCCAGGCTGGAGACCCCTTGGGCCTGGGCTGCCAGGGCGGTGCCCAGCAGCCCTTCCAGGGCTCTGGGTGGCAGGCAGGCCCCATACTCGGCTTGGAAAGCAGCCACTTCAGCTCTGAGCTTAGCTTGGAGCTTGTGTGCTGGAAGGCGCTCCAGGGCTTGGAGCACAGCTGCCCCCAGACTCAAGGCCAGCAGGTGACCTACAAGCAGGAGAGCATATCTGGCCCAGGGCCTCAGACCTCCCATTGTGTGCTGCGGAGTCTAGGGTGCTGGAGGAGCCTAGGGTGCTGTAGTCGCTGTGGCTTCACCTCAGAGGCGTGGGAGGGGCTGGGCAGGCTGGGGCTGGGAGGAGTTGCATGGGGCTGAAGAGAGACGGAAGTCTGGGATGAAGTGGTGTGAATGGGAAGAGGAGGCTGCTCAGGCTTGCAGGTGAATCACTCCTCCTAATCTAGGGTGCAGAAGTAAACCCAAACCAAATCCACTGCCATCAAGTTAATTCTAATTCATAGCAACCATTCAGGACAGAGGAGAACAGTCCCATAGGGTTTCCAAGGCTGCATCATCTTTCTCACTCAGAGGGAGCAGTTGGTGAGTTAGAACCACGTATGTTTTTGTTAGCAGATGAGCTCTTTAACCAAGGCACTACTGGAGCTTCTGAAAACAAGACTGGGTTTATTTATTCAATTCATTGTTGGTGGGCTGGGGCAGAAGGCAGCTGTCTCGGGGCAGGTAGCCAGGTCCCAGGAATTAAACAACTGACTCAAAATCACACAGTGGTGTCTTGAGAACATACTCACATGATCACACATGCATCCCATTCATTCATTCAACAAGTTCCTGTGGATACTCAGAAATAAGACATTGTAGCACTCACATAAGAAACCTGTCCCGACAGAAAGTTGACAACTGACGACTTCCCCGTTGTCTTAAGTTCCATAAGGGAAGTTTCCTGTGTTGGGGAGGGAGCCTTCACTGGGAAAGTCCCTCTAAGAAGGAGACATTTCAGCTGTTGAGAAGAGGCTAGTTATGGCAAGGTCTGGGAAATGAGCATTTCAGGTGGAGGCGCCTGCTCGTGTAACAAGACCTGGGGACAGGAGCTACATTGGGGTGGGACCAAGACAGGAGTGTTAGCTGTAGGTAATCGAGGGGGTGGTGAGTGTGGGTTAGGGACTCGGCTTGAGCACAAGTATGGCCCAGGGTGACCTGCAAGGGGACCTCAGACTTCCTGGAGGGAATGATGGTGGCCTCAGCCAGAACAGTGGCACTGGGGTTTGGGATGGATCCGTTGGGGTAAGGAAGGTTAGGTGAGGAGTCAAGGACCCGGGAGCAGGATCAGTCCTGGATGACCGATGCCCAGACCTTTCTGAGAACCCTTCCTGGTACCCGGCCCTGCTGCGCACTGAGTGAGACACAGTAAAACTGACTGCCAAGGATTATGTTAGGGAAGGCGAAAGGAGTCTAGACTACAACTCCCAGAATCCCTCAAGAGCCTGAGCCCCAGAGACTGAGGGATCCTGCCCAAGGGTATGGTGTGGGAGTTGTAGTCTGCAGAAGCTCCTTAGCAGTGTTGAGCCATGACAGAGCAGGTTATCATGCCAAAGGGTGGGTGGACCTCACCCCTGTTGTGTCTAGAAAGATCCACCCCCAGATGTCACTGGAGGGGCTATGGGTTCCAGAGTCAGATGTGCCCGGAGCAGGACAGCAAGCCCAGGGAAGCCTGTGGTGTTGTAGCTGTTCCTAGAGACCATGCAGAAAACACACAGTGCCCAAGGGCCAGGGGAACATGGCACTGAGCAAGACGGGCGGGTGCTCCGATGTGGGGTGTGCAAGGCCCTGGCTGGGGACAAGGCAGGTGAGGTGTGTGGTTGTGAGCGGGGGAGAGTGTGTATAGATCTTAAACACTTGGCCATTGCTGGGGCCCCAGAGAGGGATGTGCTGCTCAGGCTCCCAGCTTAGGCCTAGGCCAGAGTTCTCCTGGGGGCATGACGACCCCAGGATTCAGCTATAGGTCCAGTCCCCTGGTTACCTCCCAGGAAGGTGACAGGCAGCACTTGGGGAGACAGCTTACAAGTTTATTTGGCTTCATTGGATCCCGAGGCCAAGGCCCCAGCCCTGGCCAGGGCAGCAGGAAGGCACATGACCCCTAGAACCAGGAGGGTCCAGGCAATAATCCTGGGAGCGGGGGCCACAGTAGCAGGACTTGGTCACAAGTGCTGGTGACACTGAAGGCACCTCCCTGCCTCCCTGCACCACCCTCGGCAATTCCCTGAGACAAGCTCTGGTCCCCTCAACCAGCTGGGTACAGTGTGAGGCCCCAGTGGGGCAGGTAAGTTGGGGGAACCCACAGGTTGCAGGTGTGCGGGGGTCCAGGCCCCCCATCCAGTGTGAAGGCTTCCTGTGCAGTGTAGTGTTCCTGGCCCCCTGAGGGAGCGGATTCCTGGGGGAAACTGAGGCAGCTCCCGAGGTTGCCTGGTTTCTGTTCCAGTGTAGGCTGTGTAGGCTCCTCCACGGCAGCTGGAGCCTGCGAGGGTGGCCGGTCCACTCAGGGCCTTGCCTCTGGAGCCCAAGGGGCCTGGGCACCCATGTCTTTGGTCTGTACCCTGCAGTCCTGGGGGCCTCCCCGGAACGGGTTAGCAGGTGGGGAGTCCCAGAAGGGGTCCGAGTCTGGGAACAAGGTCCAGGGTGCCCGGCGGGGGGCAGGCTGCGGCGAGGGGAGGGGTGAAGGCCGTGGCCCAGCAGATACAAAGCTCCATGGGTCAATGCGACTGCGAAGAGGTGAGGGCCGAGGGCGGCTGATGAGGCCCAGGGGTGGTGAGCGTGGAGTGCCCGGGGTCCCTGGGGCGGAGCGTGATATCCCTGGTGGGGGTGAGACAGTAAGTCCTGTAAAGGGGGAGGGGGCACACGGTCAGCCAGCACTAACCCTGGGTGTCCCTAGGAGGCATTCCCCTGCTCTGGCCTTCAGTTTTCCTCTCGGTACAATTTGAGATACTGGACTTATAATTCCATGGCCCTCTTGCCCTGTGAAGTAGTCATTTATAGGGCAGTGGGTAAGAGGAAGGCCTTTGGAGCAGACAGTCCCAGCGCTGCCCCTTAAGTTCTTTGTACCTTACACTTCCTCATCTATAAAATGGGTACACTAAGAGTACCTAATCCACAGGGAAGAGAACCTGTGGGTTCCAAATGGTTAAGTCCTCAAATATTAGCCAAAAGGTTATCAGTTCAAACCCACCCAGTCACCTCAGCCAACAAGCCTGGTTAAAAAAAAAAAAAAAAAAAAAGCCAACAGCCTAAAACCTCCTATGAAGCAGTTCTACTGTGCACACGTGGAGCAGCATGAGGTGACCCCGACTAGGCGGTACTTCACAACAGTCCCCAGCATTGGTGCCATACCTCTCTAAGGCACTCAGGGCAGCGGCTGCACAGGTTAGCAACCCGGAAGAGTGTGCCACCATCATCATCATTCTTATTCTCTGACTTACAGTTGGCACAGCCTGCCCCACCCCACCCCTGACCACTAGGTGACTGAAATGAGAACTCAGTTCCCAGCATCCTGAGGGCCGGTTAGGGATCCAGCAGATGTCTGTAACCCAGCCTCGCCTCGCTGCTGGTCTGCCACTCACCTCGGGTCTCCTCTCGCCGGGGGCTCTTGGCAGACGGCTGGTCCGCAGGGGTGCCCAGGTCCAGGAGCAGCGGGGAGGCATTGGGACTCAGTGGGGAGGCAGGTGCACCAGGTGACTTGGGTGAAAAGCGGATGAGTGGGGAGGCTGGTGGCTCAGTGGGGGACAGCATGGGTGTGGAGGGCGCAGGTGGGGGCTCCCCACGCTCGCGGCCTGGGCCCCCAGGTGGCTGCAGGTCCCGGCCCAGGCCCAGTGAGGCGAGCAGCGCGGTGCCACGCAGCAGGGCACGCTGGATGAGCTTGGGTGTCCCCGAGCTGCTGCTCCCCCCGCTGCGTTCTGCTGGGCTGCGCCGAGGCTCTTCAGGCTCTGGGTTTGGTCTCGGGGGGTTCCCTGCAGGTGGGATGGACACAGGTGAGGCTCCCATCTCAGGGGCTGTGTCTGTGGGCAGGGTCCTAGGGACCCCTCAGCACCCCAGGAACTAGGGCTGAGTTCTGCAACTACCCGATTCTCCTGGCACTGATCTTCTCCCAGACCACACGCATCTCTAAAAACGGAGGTTAGGAGGAAGTAATGCCACCCAGGGCACTGCAGGAGCAAAGCCTGGCAGACAGAGTGGGCTCGGGCTGTTCAGCCTGGAGCCCTGGGAGGGTGCATGTGTGCATCCCTGCATACATACATGCACATGTGATGAGGGGTGTCAGGCAAAGCAGGCTTCACAGCCAGCCAGCAGTCCAGCTGGCTCTGAACTAAGAGAACTAAGGTTGGCAACCACAGAGGCCCAGGAGAAGGACTTGCCCATTAACTGGGCCAGTGTCCAGTGCTCCACACCCATCTCCCTCCTGGGTTGGGCAGCACTGGTCCTTGGGCACTAATATGGGGTGCGCAGGGCCATTTCAATACACAGAGGTACAGAGATGAGGAAACTGAGGCGCTGAGAAGCTGAACAGTGCCTTGATGTAGATCACAGCTAGTTTATATGCACCAAGCCCAGGCTGACCAATTTAGGACATTCATGTTGTCTGATCCACATATCCTAGGGTTTTCCAGGCCCAGAGAGTTATGAGCACCCCTAAGGCGGCACAGCCAGAACTGCTCTATTCACTCCAGACAGCAGCAGGAAGGCCTCGGGGCTCTTCCCAACCAGACTCTTATATTTCAAGACATCAACACCCTCTGAGGTGGGTCCAACTCCATTCCAGACCATGCCGGGCTGGCGCTGGATAACCCATCATTAGAGAGGAGGTGCGGGGAGTCTCCTGACCTAGCAGGAGATAGAATCCTTTGCTTTACTGCCGTCAATTTAAAGATTACTCTTATTGTTAGGTGCAGTCAAGTCAGTTCCGACTCATAGCGAGCTTGCGTACAACAAACCATCCTCACAACTGTTACGTTTGAACCCACTGTAGTGGCCACAGTGTCAGTCCCTCTTGTCGGGGGTCTTAGGGAGAGAGAAATGCCTCTGGTGCTTCCTCAGAACTTCCACCCAAGCTGGTACCTTTACTATCTTCTAGGTTTTGGTTACATTCAACCGTAACCAATCATTTACTTGTTGTTGTTGTTGTTAAGTGCCGCTGAGTCGGTTCCGACCCATAGCGACCCTGAACAGGGTTTCCGAGGCTGTAAATCTTTACGGGAGCAGAAAGCCTCATCTTTCTCCTGCGGAGCAGCTGGTAGTTTCGAACTGCTGACCTTACGGTTCACAGCCTGATTCGTAACCACTACGCTACCAGAGCTCCTTTACTAAAGGAGATGAAATGCTCCCTGCTGTCCAACCTAGGATGTGTCATATGTGCATATGAAGACTGTGCTAAAGCCACGGGATCCTGATGGATGAAGTGGGGAAGATGGATGGAAACTCTTTTTTCAGTTTGTGTATCAGACTAATTTAATCTACCCAAAGGTCTGCAAGGTCAGCGGTTTAAACTCATCAACTGCTCCTTGGGATCGCTATGGGTCAGCCGACTTGACGGCACTTAACAACGTGGGTTTACAAGGAGCCCTGGTGGCACTGTAAGATAAGCACTGGACTGCTAACTACAAGGTTAGCAGTTCAAACCCAGCAGCTGCTCCTCAGGAGAGATATGAAGCTGTCTGCTCCCATAAAGATTTAAAGCCTCAGAAACCCCATATAGCAGTGGGTTTGGTTTTGGGGACATAGAAGGTGTTGTAAGGCTTGCCAAAAGCCCCAATTTTGTTAGCTGCCTCCTTGGCTCTAGAACCTACTATGCTACCAGAAACAAGTCAAGCTCAACTGGGCTCTCACAGCCATCCCTGGCCTTGCCTCTTCTGCCTTTCCCCTCTTCCTAGCAGGCATGGAGTCGGCCTGCCTGGGAATGCAGTACTGGGCTGGGTGTTGAGCGGAAGAAATCGAAGCTGGAAAAAGCGAGTGTTTACTAGAAGCCAGGGCCTGGTCTGCAGTCCTTCCTCTCAGCCACAACCAGGCTCTCTGCTCCTGGCCTCTCATCCCTTTGGCCGCTGCACTGAAGGGTCAGTGGGGATTCTAAAATGCAAATAACCTAGAGACAGATATCTGCTGAATGAAAAACTCCCCACCACCTCCAGGCCCTTCCTGAGCTGGCTCCTACCTGCTTTTCAGCTTTATTCACTCATTCAGACAACAAACTTCTATCTAAACCATGTATGTACTGGGGCTGTAGGATCAGCGAGAGAGGTCTCCCCTCTCCCCATCTCAGGTCTGAGACCTCCTGGCTCTTAACTCTCTCCCTGAACTCCAGGCAGCTTCCTCTTCCTCTGCCTAGCACACTCTTCCCATTAAGCTTCCCACCCCCACCCCACCCCTGCCAAAAACAAAAATGACAACAAATCTATGGCCATGAAATTGATGCTGACTCATAGTAACCCTGTAAGATGGAGAGATGCTGACTCATAGTAACCCTATAAGATGCTGACTCATAGTAATCCTGTAAACCGGAGAGATGCTGACTCATAGTAACCCTGTAAAACGGAGATGCTGACTCATAGTAATCCTGTAAGACGGAGAGATGCTGACTCATAGTAACCCTGTAAGATGGAGAGATGCTGACTCACAGTAACCCTAAGACAGAGAGATGCTTACTCATAGTAACCCTAT